GTTTACCTCTCTGTAATGTGCATGACCATAGAAATGCAGTGTGGATAAAAGGAGCTGCCGGAAGTGTTGGCTTACTCACAGAAAAGACCAAGAGTCACTTTGCGTGTGGAAATAAGGACCTCGTGGTTCGTCTCCCCTCTTCCCTCCAGTTTACGAGAAACGAACTAAGAAGTCCATTAGTTTTTTTTTAATTTGGGTAAGATTTTGACTAAACCCCAACTCTCAAATGTCCCTCTCACAACACTTTTCAGATTGCCCCTTAAAATTCGCCTCTCTCCGACGGAAGCACGAAGATGCAATTTTAACATTTTGTGCAAAGTGGAACATCGTCAGAGACTCCTTCGACTGAACGTCAAAACCGATGTTCGAAAGTATTATGCAAATATGTGGCTCTTGGATGACTGTAGTGAAGCGAAGCACGCGATTCCACCATTCCTGATGCAGTGTCTGGCAAAGGACGTAACCACGTCCACAGCTTTAGCTAGTCGACGCGTTGCCGACTTTCCTTCTCTGCACGAGGATCTGACGATCATAGATTTTGGCGAGATATTCACTGGATGTAATTCTACACGAATCGTGAAGTTGATTAACGATGGAGACTACGAAGTGGAATTTGGTACTACAGTTACCTCGACATTAAAGAATGACGTCCATCCTTTTAGTCTGATCCCGAGTTTCGGGAAGGTGGAATCGTTAAAAGAAGCCCTCATTCACATAGTCTTCAAATCTGACTCGGTTTTTTGGTTTTCGCCTCAAACAACCAAATTTCTCGGTGTTATTACCATCATGAATGGACCAGCATTCGCACTTGACTTGCGGGGACGAGTCACTGCAAATCCAGTTGACATTTCACCCAATCGACTGAATTTTGGACCTCAATTTGTACAAGAAGTGGGACTGGGTGTAATCACAAAATGTTTGCAAATTTCAAATAAGAGCTTGGACAAAGCGGTTTACGTTGCTTTTGTTTCCTCCACCTTGCCCGAATTCGCTTGTGACTTCACTCCTCAAATTCTTCAACCCACCTCCGTAACATACGCTCGAGTCACTTTTCATCCCTCCGCATGCAAGAGCTATGAGGGTAAACTATGCTTTCTGGTAAATGAAAAGGCGAAAATTAAGACACCCGTCAAAGGAAGTGGTGTTAAACTTGACTTGAAAATAATATGTGGTTGTTTAATGATAAATCAGACGAGAGAAGGAACCAATAAGACACTTGTCAAAGTGAAAGATACTAAACAGGCGGAGACATCGGTGGTGCATCTTGGAAACCTCACTTTCATGCAGTGTAGTCACCGTACTGTTGGGATAGTTAACAAAAGTCTGGTTCCTATAACAATAACTGGTGCTTCAGTACTGCCGAAGTCAAAGGCACTTAATGAAGTCCTTGTAAACTCACTCACCTCAAAGCCAAAGAGTGCAGAGATAATTTCCTTGAGGTTCCTCCCTCCAACTCCATTTACAAGCACTAATAGAAGGTCTGAAAGGATGATGCAAGACAGCTGCGAGGTCAATCGCCTATTATTGCCATCCAAAGAGTCAACGGCTCAAATTGAAATTACTTTCTCGCCACAGGATCTTCCTATTATGCCATTTTCTGAGGAGGTTAAATTACGAATTTCCACTCCTAGTAATCCGAGTAGGAGTATCTGGATTCCTGGTTTTATAATTTGTGGAAAGTGTACCGGCGCAAAGGTAGTTATGGGGACGTCAGTGGTAAATTTTGGCAGTGTGGTGGTTGGAAGTAGCTCCTCTAAAACTGTTGCCGTCTCGAATTGTGGAAACGAAGATGCAAGGTACGTCGACTTGGGGCGGTGCTAACATAATTTTGGTAGATTTAAGTGGGTTGAGAAGACGCTGCCCAGACACATTGTGTCAGTCGAACCCAAACGAGGAAGCATCCATCCAAACACATCAGTGAACTTCAAATTCACTTTCAGACCCCGTCAAGAGAATCAGGAACTTCATATTCAGGTGAGCACTACATTTACTTTGAGAAATAAAAAATGGCTATATGAAGCAATCAAAGGTATGGATGCAGAGAGTCGGTAGCGTTGGGTAAGAAAGTGTAATAATTACTATACGAATGGAACAGGGAGGCTTCTGCCAAACCACGAATACAATACCGTCCATCAAGAGCACATTGCTACAGCCTCTGGTGCTCCATTAATTCAAGCAATAGGTTAACAAACGAATGGGGTAATGCGAGATCTCTCTCGGCTTTTGTATCTTCCAAGACTCCCGTTATGGCCACCCTATCGTGGTCCAAGGAGTGGCCGAAACATCCACCATACAACTACACCAACCAACCCGTTTTATCCATTTTTTGTAACTAATCTACTAAATCTGGAGCCCTCTCGTGTTTAATACTTACTAGTTGTCATATACTTGCCTAAAGCAGCAGCATTTAGTAAATTGCAAAATCGTATGCTATTTTGTGTGAATAAGGTTGCCTCGTTGTCACCAATTTCACCTCAGAGTTATTCATTCATGCGTGTTCGCATAAGTCTTACCTCACACAACTTTAGCCAGTATCTCCTTGGTAAACATTCTTTGGTGGTTTTATCTCCCATTTTGCTTTGCTAATTTGTGTTTTTAACAACCTGAGAGTGAAGTAGATTCCAATGAATGACTCCTTTTCAGTCCTACTCTTAGAAGGTGTTCCCGATTCGTCTGTCAGTCACACGTCAGTCTTCTGTCCAGATATGGTTTACTGAATGTCAGTGGAACTTGAAACATTTTTTTCTCCGAAATTGGCTTGCTGTCCTCTCTCTTGAGACAACCCTGAGGGCGATCGACGACAACGTATTGAGGCAGAATTCACCTTTTAGACGCAGAGGAATGTTTCAGAATCCAGTCCGTTAATACAACTGAGAATTAAGCTTAAATTGGCCCACAATAAAGCAAGACACCATAATTTCCATCAACTGACCGCTTTTCGGTAAAAAGTTTAAATTTTTCTGTAAACACAGACGCCCTATCGGTCAGTCCTTCGCAAGATTTCGGCAAACCGAAGCGCTGGTGTTACCCAATCAACGATTACTTCACTCGAATAGCGTCTTCTAAGTGAAGGAGAAATTAAAACTATGAGTGCATTATCCTTTGCTTTTTACTTACTGGTGATTAATCATAAGCCTTCATGTCTTTGTTTCCCCAAATCCTCATTGTGATTAAAAGATGTAAAGATTTTGGTGTTGAAACAATCGACTAACAAAATTTTTACCACCACTAAATAACAAATGGGAGAGGAAACGTCCGTTTTTCAAGCTTAAGTCTACGTTAACAAAACAACTAAGCAGGGAAATTTTATGGGGCATCTACCTCAATTTAAAAGAGGCAGTACCTATAAACTTCCATGTTGCACTCGTCGTGAAGTTGTTCACCTAAAAAAAAAGGAATTAGGACAGGATTTATTCAAACGTACTCTAAATTTTTGATGTTCGAGTGACTCCTCTGATCTGATCCATTATGTAGCTGTGTCTCTTCCCTTAAGAATGTTGCTTGCAACGTGGAGGGGTCGAAGCCTCTACTAGTGACCCTAATTGGAGTCTGCTCAGCGTCTCCCGAGGTGCCGGAAGTCGTGCAATTCGCCTGTGCGGTGCGTGAAAAGAACACACAGAGTGTGAGCCTTTCGAATCCCACAAGCAGTGTGTGGACAGTCAAGCCTGTGTTCACTGGTACTGAATGGAGTGGTAAGGAAATCCTTCATATTCAGCCAAAGGAAAGCATCGAATATGCCATCACATATCATCCTCTGAAAATGACCTCAAACGATGAATTCCACAAGGTAAGCATGGAACGCTTGACAAGGTCTGGCCAAGACCACTTGTCACCATCTGTTGTTCGTCTATTAAAGGGGGCGGTATTTTTTCCATTGCCAAATGGCTCGGGATTGAAGTACTACCTTGAAGGCATATCCAACCCTCCGAATGCTCTGAAACCCAAAACAACGGTCGAAATTCCCTGTAGACGAACATATAACCTCTACATTGATGTTCCCAATTGGTTGTTAAAGGTCCAAAGGTTTTGTGTCACTTGGAAAACATCAAATGAGTCGGATTTTATCTTCACCGGACCTCAATTCATCGATGTGCCAGGAGGGAGCTCTAAGAAATACTTACTTTCGTGTCAGGGTCTGAGTGAAGCATTTACCACTTTGAAAGTAAGGCTGATTTTATGTTATTTTCTTCTCATTAAATCCACTCTTATAACAGATGCCACTCAAGCTACCACTTAAAACCAATTTATTTGCCTCTGGCGTTTTAGATAACCTTTTCAAGTACCGAAACTGACGAGTACCAATTCGTAGAGTACCAGATTCGAACGGTTAGACCTAAACCAGAGGGTCTAATTGAATTGAAAACCCCGCTAAGGAAGGCTGTTACCTACCCCTTGAGACTGGAGAATCCTCTACCGAGCGATACTGTTGTGACGCTCCACTCTACACTACCTGAACTGCTATGTCCACCGGAATACAAGCTGACCTCCCATTCGAAGGTAATGGTTGGAATTTTCCAAAGGGCAGGCTCATACATCACTTTAACCTTCCGCTAAACTTACTTCCATAATGCATTGTGCTAAGTGATATGTTCATATATTTGCATCAATCTGTTCATTTCATAACCTTGACTTCGCTCTTAGAGTATACTTAACCTTGACTTCAAACCCTGGCGCGTTGGAAAATTCAGTGGCAGCCTTGAAATAAATAGTCCGGATCTGGGTCTTAGTGTCTATGACCTAAACTTGGAAGCGCTAGAGCCCTTGCCTGAAAAAACAGTTCAATTTCAAGCAAGTCTCGGCCATTCTGACACAGCTACTGTGAACATCTCCAACCTCAGTCGAAGTAGAGCCGAATTCACTTGCAAGGTAGGGATTTCACGAATTGATCGGGTAGAATAACGAAATCAAACTTGGGTCAGTTTCTCTTCCAACACCTACTTCTAGATTAACAATACCGCCTTCCGATGCAAGAGGTCAGTGCTTGTAGCCACCAATTCGTCAGCCGAACTGGAGGTTACATTTGAACCAAACAGCTTAGGCGTGTTGGAGAGCACTTTAAAAGTGACCAGCAGTCAAGCAGGGTCATTCATTTTTCCGCTTTACGGATTCGCTAAGCTGCCAACACCCCAGGGTCCCATCCTTGTTTCTACTACCGTACCGACCTCGGTGGCAGTGAAGAATGTCTTTTTGGAGCCAACAGAATTCTCTTTAGAGGTAAATGATTCAGTGACAACCAGGAAGACATGAAACTGTCTCCACGCATTAACGATGATTGCTAACCCGTCAATTTTGTAGGTTGACAACACTGCATTCCAAGTTGATTGTTCCGCTAGATTGGTGAATCCGCAAAAAGAATTAAGTATTTCTGTTACTTTCGACCCCAAAGACCACTCTTCTAACGTCCATGGAAAACTTGTTGTCTCGTGCAAGCCTTCATCACAGGACACCCACATCCAATGGGTTTTTTATCTCGAAGGAGCCACCGTGGCATGAGAATTGGAACAGACAACCTTATCGAACTACTGTATTCCTCTTACTTAAACCGAGGATCATCAAGAAAATAAAAATAATGAATTTGTGAGACAAAGACTGCTTACTTTAGTGATAGTTTCTGTTGGGGCCTACAAAGGTAGGAACGTCAATGTATGCAGAGTTGAGGTACATACACCTCATGAAAGAGCGCTTAGGTAAGGAAGCCTTTAGAGTACATATTAGATGATCTTGCACAGTGTCAGCTCCCCACTGCATACACAGAACAACATAACAAGTTTAGTAAGGATTAACTATGTAACCTGATCCTTCTGTAAAAGCTTTTTAATAACCTGAAAGAATAAAATGATATCAAGAAATTAGCATTCTTCCAAAGGCATTTCCACATACTTCGGACCTAGAAGTTCATATGCAGCACGCCAACCTGACATACAGATTTGCATTTCAGAAGGCTATTTCCTAATCCCAGAATGTGCCAGTAGGGGCCATCAAAGAACCCAAAAGCCGATCTATATTCGGCTTCTGACTATTTCATCCGCAGTTATCTTACCTCGAAGTTGATAGCTATAACCTAAAATGATTATCCACAGTCACAGCTTTACGAAAGGTAAAGCTATTGGTAAACTCTGCAACTTCTCTGAGATTCATAAAAGTTTATTAAAGAAGAACCATTCCTTGAATAAGCTGCCCATTTGGTACAAGAATCGGAATTAATACCATATCAGACACAAACAAAAGTCATCTAAACTGAAAGAGAGTGGTTTCGTTATGAACCTGGCATAAGCATCCTGTGTCCACAATTTATCACCGCTTGACGAGGGCTGTGTTCAGCACATGCATCTCGTCCTTTGTTAGTTCAAAGTCGTCAACCTAATATAAAAAAGAATTTTATTTTAATGATCAAACAAGAAGACCACGAGTCATGTAGTCTATAAACTACAAGCAGAAAAGATCTCACATTGGGTTAGAAAATGCGGAAATACTTACCTCCGAATAAGCGATAATTCTAGTTCGTGAATTGCTACGTATCAGTGGGCATAGACCACGTTGTAAGGCGTGCTTAACCAGAATTTGTCCTGCTGATTTATGGTGAATATCAGCTATGCTATTCACAATCTTCTCCTCGATGGGCATAATAGTAGAAGGATCTCTTAAAAATAACAAAATATTTGAGATAAATTGACGTGTACAAAAGTTGTTGTAGTTAAATCTACGCGATTTCGCAGAATAAGATGAGTATTTATAGCCTACAGTGATGCGGAGACTTTGCCAAAAACAGCCGACGCAATCGGAATAATGTTAGCCGCTTGGGATAAAGCCAACATTGAGGAATTCGGAAAGTGTACCGATGCCTCAAACTGCAGATATTCTGGCTGCATTTCAGCATACTTGAGGACATGGGCCAACTGGTGTCGAGTGCAGTTTGCAAGGCCAATGTGGGTAAAACCAGTTTGGAAAACTAAACTTTCAGCAACCTAAAAGCATAATACAAAGAAATTCCAGGCGGAAAGTAACTCAAAACAACCTTTTTACATGGACAGGGCGTCTGTGTACGCATTATAAATCAGCATTGTATAAAAGACCTACCTTCCAGCAATCCAAAAGGTAACCGTCTTGATTCTTTTCAAAACCCTCAAGTAAAAATTCAAAACAAAACTAACCTCCAGTTCCATTAGCAATATCTTGCGTCCAACAGGTAACCTACTAAATTCAACCAAGTTCAAAAGCTTTTCACATTCGCTATCCACAAGCAGAGGCGGCGACACCTTAAATAAGAACAAATATCACTCTTACCAGCAAAGCAATATTAATGCAGCGTAGTTTGTTCCCTTGTTTGCCTTCTTTTTTATCAAGACCAATTAGTTCTTTCTTAAAAATGTCAAGAAAGTTCGCAAAGCTTTGTGACGCTTGAAAAGTTTGATACTCTGTTTTAAGAGCTGTTTCAAACGCATCTTTATAGCACGGTGAGTATGGATTTGTAACCTCAATCCAAACGCCACGACTCATTCCAGTATCGATAAACGCATCTACGCGCTATCCGAATAACACGTCAAGGTCATTTCTCAGTGTTCCAAAAGTTGATTTAGTGGTGATAAAAAGTCAATAAAGTAACAGCTAAGTACAAAGCTAGTAACTAATATACTTAGTTATTTAAATCCAACTACTTTTAGAAGTGTGATTTTTGCAAACTAAATAGATTTGCAAGGAACAATTAAAATTAATTAATTTTTCTCAAATAGTCCTCCAAATTTTATCTTTATTATTAAATTTCAATATTTGTAACTATAAATCATAGGCTAAAAATTATCTTCACGCAACCATTTGGGTGTGATATGCACTATTGACATTACTTATCAATTGAGTTTTTTATGACTCATCGATATTTTAAATTTCCATACTTTGAATAGCCTAGGCTCCTTAAGGAAGCATTTTGAGCTAAATCAACCAAAAACGTAGTTACAAAATGTAAATGTTATAGGTATATCTCAAAAATAAAAAGGGATTAATTGTACAAAGGAACACACATTCCTCTCGTTTTCATTCCAGCTGTGCCTTTACTTCGATGTTGATTAGGCCATTTTTCGAAATCCTAGCAACGGCTATGGAAGGCAGCGATTCTTCAGATTTGTCGTCTTACGCAAGTGGAATGTCTTCTGATGCATCTGAAATCAACTTAAATGCATCGAACGATGCAAGATCGAATACACCACGTGATTCTATATTGCAGAAGCTTCCTGCGAAACAGAAATCAAGTGATGAAACTCTAGTACAATTCGCAGCTATTAAAATCGAATCACAACTGTAAAATTCTCTTGTGGCACTTATGTTTAAGGGTAGTGGAAGGGGATGCATTGACTGTTAAAATATCGCCCGATAAATTGGCTTTTGCTGTCGGATTATCAACTGGCGTTATTAGAGTACAGCTTTTTGCGTTAACGTTTCAGATATTTTTCGTTGATAAACAGATGAACGAGAGCAATGTGATTTCACTGAAGACTCCCGGTGAAAGGCTGCCGTGTAATGACCTGTGTTTTATTGAATCCTCATCAAAACCCCTCCTAAAAAAAAATACATATCTTTTAGCTGTTTGTAAGTCCGTAGTCATAAATTAAGTTAGAGACTCTTCCGGCTACATCAGACTCTGGGATTGCTTTAATCAAGTGTCACAGGCGTCTTTGGTTTTCGAGATTTTTGAAAGCGCAGATCCTTGTGACTTCAACCAAGTCAGTGAGGAAGGTACTGTTGCGAATGAGCTCTTGTGCGTAGCATTGTCAATGGATGCAACGCGTTTTGTGACCGGGGGGAGTGATACCATTATCAAGGTTTACGACTTGACGACAAGACTGCGTCTTTTAAACTTAAAATCAGGGTAAGATCAACGTTATTAATTTAGGTTTTAAAATAAGATCGAGAACCTATCTAACAAAGGAGTGCACGCATCACACGAGTCGCATTTCCGCCTTAGTCTATCATCCCAGAGGAAAAAATGACCAGCTGTATAGTCATATCTTTGTTTCTGCCAGTTGGGATCAGACCATACAGATATGGGATGACCGAAAAGTAGCGTCCCTTTGGTTTGTTCGGTTTTACAACTCTTATGTTACAGGCACTATTACGGTCCACAAGTTGTGGGATCGGATGGTTTAGACATAGATGGCATGCAGAATATCATTGTGGCTTCTTCATGGGTCCGCAGTGGTGTTATGCTAAAAGTACAATTTATTCGTATAACATTTCATCCTCCTTTAAGATGTGGAAATTTGCAGATTTTTCCATCACTGGAAGCTCGTTAGCTGCAAAACGCAAAGTACTTCAAAATTACAGCAAACCCGTCAACGAAGTGACACTTGAAGGTTCTGACTCCACAACTCAGGTATATGGATACCAACCTAGCGAAACGGGAAAACACTTTCATTCAAAACGTTCACTATCACTAGCTTGACTTATTGTTAGCCGCTTATTCTTAAACGAAACAGATGAACTTTCGCTCATACGTTCTAGGGCTATGTTGCTCGGATGGGCGGAGAAGGTCGCTACATTTTCTACGCCGGTTATGGAATGAACGTTCTCAAAGTAATTGACCGCGAAAGCATGAGCGTAAGACCATTCGTGCCATATTTGTAGCCCCTTCTGTAATCTTTTTCAGATTGCATAGTTTCCTTCATAGGGATAAATTTGCATTAAATGAAAATTAAGACTTGAGAAAAAGGTAGAACGAGGCTATTTTAAAACTGATGCAAAGGTAACCAAATACTCACCAAAGTGAACACATTTCGGCCTATGATGTGAAGTAAAGAACCCCAAAATCCCGCTCACGCAGACGATCCCTTTCTCGAACTTTCCCAGCATGGTTAACTATTCATCTGCACTGAGTTAGCATACCTATTAAGGCAAGCCGAAATTATTCGGGCAAACAACAAATTGATCTCATTCTCAAAGATTGTTGCAGGTCTGACTGACCTCCCAAATGCGGTCTACAGCCTGGACTCTTGTCTCGATCCCCGAGACAAACGGCGGTGCCTGATCGTCTTCACCAATGCAAAAAATGTCTACCTAGCTTCAGTGCAGTCAAGAATGAATTTCCTGGAAGTAGCTTCAGCGTAAAATCTTTCCTTCGGTATATTTTTTACCAAGAGTTTGTATAGACTACGTTAGCAAAGAGAAGCACTTGTAAACAGTAATGTATGTCTATACGCATTAATGACTTGTCCAACTAAATAAAAGACACTAAAACAACCTCTAAGGGCAGAGATCTCCGTATCTTATATTCGTATGAAGTCTCGCGATCCCGGTGTGCTTGTAATAGGACAACGGCAAACCAGGTTGCATCACGGAACTCGAGATTGAGCAAATCCTACGCTGACTGTACTTATGTCATTGCGCGCTCAATGGGTTGAAAATTTACAATTACAGGCGATCCGTACAACCACACCATCCATGAAATCGCAGACCAGTCCTTCTATCTGTCTGCCAAGAATAGAAAAGCAAAGGCGCAGTTCGTTCAATAGGGCTACATATGAATGAGATAGACAATAAAGACGGAGCAGTAGTGATTGAGGAGCTGACAGACTAAGTATCAGAAGATATGGTAGGAATCGGTTCCTCGTAGAACTTGGCAACTGCAAAGCTGCCCACGATAAGTCCAATGACTGAAGCGTAGATAACCATGGCGAATCTCCTTTGATCGAGTCGATATTCAAAGGCACTCTTCGAAATTGTTTCGTCGGCACGCTGCATCCATGTGTTTCTCAGGTTTCGGTTATAAGATCGAACATAGTTGGATTCGAAAGAACCACTTTCAGTTTTGCGAAACGTGTCAACGTCAATTTTCAATGGGAAATCGGAAGAGGGTTGACTACCCGTTTTAGGAACAAAAAGCCCGCGATCGTAATTTATTCTTTTTTTTGGGTCTCCAAGGATTTCGTACGCGCTTACAATTTTCTGATACTTTGAACCAGATTCAGCCGTAGCAGCAATATCTGGGTGGTGAATTCTTGAGAGAGCGTAAAACGCTTCTTTGATGTCCTTTTGCGTTGCACTAGGCTGCAAGCCCAGGATTTTGTACAGATCTTCCGTCTTGACGACACCTGTAGTTCGAAAGCCTTGGACTCGGAACAAATTAATAGAGCATATTGACGTCAGTCCTCTAGAAACACCAGTCATTAAGAAAGTCGGTGGCATCTTATGGGTGTGCGGTTAATGGCTATATTGATCTTGACAATTAGAAAGCAGTATATTAAAAGCAGTCGTATTAGCCATACGTATAATCGCAAAAGTTATTTTAAATATACCTTTATTGGATTTAGGCCTTTTTGCAAAGTAGAGAAGTTGACAGTCACCAGTGCAATTATTTGTGATCCTTGGTCCCGAAGACTTGATCAAATGTCTCCTTGCAATATATTAAATCTCTACCAAGGGAATTGGTTCGCTGATTATTTCAAAAGCCATTGAGACTTTAATGAACGCTCGTGTGTTAACTTGGTAAATTGAAGATATTAAAGCCTCATTTAATCGTTTAAGTCCATGCCACAAAGCAGAACATATATATCCTTACAATTTTTGTAGATTTTGGAGTTGTCTTTATATTGGATAAGCGAAAAAAATAAAATGAACGCAAATTCAGTGCGTGCTGTGGGTGAAGATTCATCCTCAACCTAGTGCCTGCTTTCCGTCTTAACTGTCCTTTCCGATCTTCTTTCTCTACACGATGCCTTATAGAGCTTCTACAGCTAGCCCTCTGCTAAAGTCCGAGGTTCAGAGACCTGAAGGTATGTATGTGACTCGCATTTACTACAAATAGTTTTTTTCTTGGTCCTCTTGAATGCTTAAACTACGCCTTGAAATTTTTCTACCTTCCTATTGCATACCAAAGCCATGCTGTGAAGTTCTGTCTATGCTGTCACACCCTCTCGAGCGTGTGAATGGTCTATGGGCCACACCATGACTTATTTTCTTCCTCTCGTCCTAGAATTCATGCATTTAACCCAACGTAATACTCCCTTCTACCCAGTAGTAAGCTTCGAGGCGCTATGCGTACAACTTTGTTGAACACGTGTATTCAGACAAAAAGGGAAGCGATGAGACTTGGGACGCAGCTCGAAGTTTGGATCGCTCTGCTGCAAAAGTGACCACCACTCCTACAGATAGATGCCTCATAAATTTGAGAAGTCTTGAATGCTAATGAAAATTATAACAGGGGCTGGAGCTTTGGAGTCGCGAAAGACAACTATAAAAACGAATCAAATGAGGTCCCCACCGACAATTCGGTTAATTAGTGAAAACTCAAATATTTGATCACCATGAATCCAAGCCGATTAACTATTTTCTTGCCTTTTCATTTGTGCTTGCATTATTTTTCCTCTAGCTTCAGCCCATTGTCGTTCAGATTTGACTCATCAAACCTGTTATTCCTTTCTCTTCAATTCTTTTTCCAACTTATAAAAGTTGTAAGCGGAGTGGGCATTCAAACAATAGATACTTCGAATTCTCAATTAAATTTTCGAATGTTTGTTGCGCCAGTTATCCTCATAGGTTTCCATCTTCTTTCGATTTTCCCGTTTTCAGAGGTACACGGATTTGGGGAAGCGGTCTTTCCATAATCAGAAATGTACGCTCTGCTGGCGTTGGTTTTGTTTCTTTTTCTTCACTAATTGACCATGGACGGTGAACATCTAAACTGTCCCCGACACACGGTAGTATCTGCTCGTATGCAGATCCAGACGGTGATCCCTTGGAATTATTACCATAATTCTCGTTGTTTATTTGGCCAGCACTTAGATTCTGTGGCCGCACTGCGGCCTCGTAGACAAAAGCGTTTCGTTCATGGAGGGCACTCACGCGTCTACAAGTAATAGCGAAGTAAAGGTGGTAATTAGCGGTTCCCTTATACCTTTGCGTTTTCACCTCATGGTCTCTATATAATTGCTGGGAGTAATTGCTATGGTAATCTGAGACGTACCGTCTCCACTTTCTTCGTTGAAGAAGATAAGCAATGATGGCAAATACAGTGGTGATGCAGAATGCACCGCAGATTAGTCCGACGATTAGGCCCACATTTTGAGGCTATAATGAACGAGCATGGTTGTATGTTCGATAAGATTAAAGAATCTTCCTTAAATCCCATTTGTAGACTTGCCTCAGCAATCTTGGTTTCACACCAAGTTCCTGTCCAGCCTTCGGGACAACTACAAAAGAATTTGAATTTGGTGGGATGATCTACACACACCCCCCCGTTGAGACATACGCTAGCAGGTGAGGAGACGCTAAAGCTACTATTTTCCCCTGCGTCTCTAAGAGCCATCTTAGAAGCGATGTGTATCGCTGCCTTTTGATCTGCTTCTAAGAGAGCACACAAAGAGAGACGCTGCTCGCAGTAGATACCAGTGTAGTACTTTGGACAGGTACACACAAATCCGAGGGGATTTGTTGAACTCTTGTCGCACACACCACCGTTACGACAGGGCGAGAAGCGACAAGGGTCAGTTAAAGGATAGCATTCAGGATCTGGCAATTAGGAAAACGAATTGAATGTAAAATATAGGCTAGTCAAGTGGTTAGCATCTGAAATTAAGAACTTAGGAAATATGAACTCACAATGTCCGCCGTTGCAAATGCAGAATCGACCGGATAATTTGGGAACACATGTAGCTCCAAAGGCGCATGGCTCACGATCACAAATGTCGGTTAGGTTACAGAACTCGCCAAAAAAGCCTAAAATTAAACGACCACACTCCTTATAGTTTCGTTTGCAACTGATATTTCCCTTGGGTCAAGGAAGCTAACCCTTGAGACAGACACGTTCTCCATTGGGCGAGCAGTAGTATGATAGCCCATCAGACTTGCAGTAATTTTCACAACGAGAACCATAGAAGTCATCGGAGCACTGCATTTTCAATCTTATTCCCACTCTAGATGAGTGAAATTTCCTGTGCAATAGTTTTTTTGTAGGTTTTGAATCCTAGTTAGTTAAACAGTTAAACAAATACCTCGGTCCAGCAGTTGGCGTGTTTTCGGCGTGGCTTGAGAGGATTGTAAAGTACTCCTCCTTGATCAGAGGCACTTTAACTTCATATTTCCCTATCAAATCGGGATCACTGAATTGATCGGCATCGTAGATACCAATTTCAATATTCAAAGAGACCTTATAACATAGAAAGCGGTCAAATCATAGCTGATATCGAAACTTCCCTGTCTATTAATCAAGAGGCGATCGACTTGGCTTTCACATTGCTCAAAACACGTAATTGTACGTTGAGGGATGATTTTAAGCTGTCACTACTTACCGGTGTAGGGTGTTTAATAAAAAGGGGTATTGCTGAATGTCCAGTCATGTTGATCTCGACTCTATTCATGAATGTGTCCGTTTGAGTCTTCAATACACTGCAATCCCTACCGAGGTATGGGGTAAAGACAAAGGCGAGGGGAATGAAGGCAGTTAAAAATTGAAAGCCACTCTAGTCGTTTTGCATCACTCACCCCTCCTGCGTTCCAATGCAGAATTCAAAGAAGACATCACACAGTCTCTCAAAAACAATCAGATCACAAAATGTTCCGCCTTCACGACGGTTTTCTGGATTCCAGTAGTACACTTCTAATGTGCCAGCTGCTGCATTCCTCTTAAGGGGAAAACACAAACGCACTAGTTTTACCAGTCATGTTTGATGAACATAATGTATAAAAACATAAACAGTCGAGTTCTGTTTAATTTTGTTGAAATAAAACTGTTTAAATTATGTTTTAGTGATACGCGCATAACGGTTAGGCAAATGACATCTCCCGTGGGGTTCACTGATGAAGCCAGCATTATCAAGGTGGCATACTTTTCAACCTCTCCCAAGTGCCTTTAAATAGTGTATTATTTGGTATGCATTATGCACTGGTCTCAAAGTACAAGACTATTTTATTTAGGATACATTAAGACGAAAGAAACATACCAAGATATCTAGAGGTAATGTGGCATGCAATCCAAAGCAGAGTACCAGCAACGCAGTGAAACAAAGTGTCATAATAACGAACAGGAGGCTAATGCACCAAAATGCGCTGTGCATGAGAAGGAGAGATAAGCACCTCAGCACAGCTAGTCGATTTGTGATTGGTAAAGGCAGCAATGGCACGAATGCCTATCCAAGCATCGATTACTTCCATGGAACGACACATCGGTGGATTTCCTTTCCTCAGAGGCAAGCTCATCCACATATTTTATCTTCAGTGACTGCAAGGAGAGGGACAAAGATGTGTCAATCGGGCTTTCATCAACTTTTCATTGAGAGTTTATGGTTAATATGCTACTTAGTTCAGTAGAGCGGCACAATGGCAAGAAAACATAGAAGTAAGGTGATTGATGTAAATGTGGGCAAAATTGAATTCATATGATGTTGTCTATGGAACCATGGTTGCATGGTTGCAGGCCGTTTCAACAGTCCCTATACCGCTTAGCTTTAGCTGAATACATACATTGTACTGGGATACTATGCAGTCTAATGCAGATAAAAAAGTCTCATGGCGCTACATTCTAGTAACTCGGAAATGTAACTGTTGTGACAAACCCACTCGTCGACACGATGTCAGCACCAGACATCGCTTTGTTCCCAAAAACAGAAGTAGTCAGGCTTGAAACATTCGTCTGCACTTAGAATTAGGCTGAAGTGAGAGAAAATTAAACGGTGGACAACTGATTAAAAAGAAAAGTAACAATCAAAACAAACTATAAGTCGCAACAACTTCGTTTGAAGTAGCTGCACTTCAGAGCAAATGAGTGTATATAACCAGGTTCATAAGCAATAACTGTTAATGGAACGTCTCAATACTTATTCCAGGTAGTCAAAGCATAGCACTTGAACAAAATGTACATAGCAAAAGCGAAGAAGATCAGGGTTTGCGCGTAACTCAAGGACTGGATCACCCAGCTAAGGTAATATAGCCGTTGGTGTTGTTGCTGTAGAGCCCCGAGACTTCCCACCGGATAGAAGAAATAGTAAGTGGAGCTGAATGCATGTATTCAAAGCAGAGCAAAGTAATTAGACCTGAGCATGGCCCGAAGGCCAGCCCACGCGTATAACGAATGGGCAATACTTTAAGTGACCGTCAGACATCAGGTGGTCACATAAACAAAGTATTGTAGTTGCAAACAAAACCTGTTGTAATACGCATTGTGTGGTTAAGATTTGTGGCAGGTGTGGATGCAATTTCATCTTCGTACTCGATTGTCTGCATAAGAGACGTCCCTCCCTAAATAATTGAGCCTTAGCTTCCTTACGATTCCTTATTAAGAATATAGCCCTCGTATTTTCGATAAAAAATTATCCGGGAAAAGTTTATTCTGCAGGTCCTGAGCCCAGTCTGAACCAAAACTATCGGCAAAAATCTACTGAAATTGCTAGTTAAATGAAGTATGTCGTTTTAAAAACGTCATTTTTAATAACTCACAGAGATTGAAAGTTTAAAAACGCACTAGAACGCGCCTTTTAAAATTACATCTGTGGTTGTAAGAGCAGCCTGCCTACCTTCACGCTCCTGAACCTCGGACTTTATGAGAGAGATGGTTGAGGCAGATTAATTACGCATCGCGTATAGAAAGGGAGGAAATGGAGGAAGAAATAATGGGAGGAAGAGTCGATGTCACCCCGAGAAGATCCCTTCATGCTCAACAAGAATTGATATTGTTTTCGCATTGCTTATTTCGCCTCTTGCCTACAAGGATTAGCCTAAACACATTCGTATATATTGCCGCTGTCGACGCAACAAATCGTTTGTTTAAATATCACTTAGCAGAAGGAGAGCAGAGTTCAATTTACGCGCCAACAGCCCGCATGCCTTTAGTGAGCCTTTCCACTCCTGATTTGAACACCCCGAAAATTCTAATTCAAGAAATGCTTTCCTTGGAGTGGTTTTATTCGCCATTACTAATTGATTTCACTGAAATTCGGGTACAGCTACAGGGACCCAAACTCGTACTCTACATGCTCTTTAGGCCAATGTTTGCTTTTGAGTCTACCTATTAACCATAATGATGGTAAAATCATATAAAATTAATTAATTTATATGCACAACATAATTATATTCTAACGGCTTTCAAATAGCGCCAAAATTGAAGTAAGCAATTGATCCCCGTTTCAATAGCCCGCGATGTGGTCCTTGCTGTATTTTTGTTGATAAAAATGCCGAATTCAAATTGCATGCTCATTTATTGCCCTTAAACTAAATGTTGCAGAAGTTTGGTTTAAATTAACAGAAAATGCCAATTGCGTTATCCCAAAGGTCAACGTGGGTTGTTTGATAGTGATTGGGCTGCGTTATATTCTACTGGCCGTACATGCAGAGTCGCGTTCCTTGTGGAGTTCAAGCTAGAGTATCGTATTGTGAGTACGCTGAGCTGATAATAAGGTTATCAGCTTTGTCCTTCCTTGACGCTTAGTTTCTTCGCATGTTAGCCTGTAGTTCGTTGATTATTTTAATTAGTTTAATGATTGGTAAATTTTAGGTGCCTTTCTTGTTAAAGCCTATGACTGATTGTTCCAGATTGAAGTCTTCTCCTCTTTGCACCGTCGACACATAGGCTATCGCACCGTTAAATTATATCAGCAAAGTTTGTTTTTGTTCGCTCATTATTTGTCACTTCAAAGCTCTAATTATGCGGATACATCTTCGTTAGCGATTCAAGTTGCACCCCAATTTTTGGTCTAACTTTTTAACTCCTTTATATGCGTTTCCTCTGCAGAACACTATCAGCATTTGATGAAATGTTGGGTTGAAACATCAATGTTTAAAAATGGCCACGTTTAATGTTTGCGTGCTCTTATGCAGCTGCCCTATTTAACACCGGCTCCATTTGGGAATCTGAAAGGATTGTTGCTGTTCTTTAGGCGACTTTTTTTAACAGTTAACATAGTCTCATTTGAATGGTGATCTGAATTATAGATTAGTGAGCTATGGCAATTCCTATGATGGTCATGGCTAACACCGTAGAATATCAAGTCACTCCCTGCAGCTTTATGAAACATAAGCCAGATTTGCTGTCAGAACAGAGTATTTGTAACATTTTTGCCTGTACACCTCAAATGCCTGGTTACTTCCATCATTGCCGAAATTGTGAACCCTTACTGATTATCATTTGCTCAATCATAGCCCTATTTCACCTGCTATGCACAAAGTGACCTCGGGTCTCTTGGTGATTGTGTGTTTGATCTCAGTATGCATACACAGACTTCAATACTCATTTCGCATAATCACTCTAATTTTGGGTTTTCTTTGCTATGTCGTAGATTTGTTCGTTTGCTCTTGGACTTTTTGCGCCGTTTTTGCAATATTCATTATCCGTTGTTTCAGTTATTATCGATGATAATTTTTACGGCATCCGCGGCTAAAGTTGTTGGACTTGGCTTCCTATGTGGACTGATTGGTTCGTGGCTTCTAACATCGTCCACAAGCTCCTACGTTGGTCAATTTCAATCTTACCCATCGTGGCTCAAGTCAAAGATAGACGCTCTCGATGTTCAAAGCTTTAACCACCACGATGGACATCATGAAGGTATACTTAACTTCCTCTTTCCACTCAATCACTACGCTCGAGGTAGATCATAAAGCTAGATGTTTAGTATTTTTTGTTTTACCACCAACAGCGCAATCTCGTTGTGGGAATAATATCTTTTATGCTCATTTTTAACCTCTCATTTATCATTGAATCGCTTTTAGAGCCCAATAATATACGTATACTTTCTAAACTCACTTGCTTTGATCTAATTACCGAATAATGTCACTGCGTCTAGTGACTCACTATAAGACGAAGGCGTTATTGCGTTTACCTGTGCGCTTATGCATTGCCACACAATCTGGTAGGGTGTAAACGGACTCAGCTAAAATGTTAACTCTAATTTGGACGTGATGTTTTTCAACAGACGAAACTTTACTTGTGGATGAAATGGCTAAAGTGAGGCCGGTGTTCGCCTTCATTTTCACCTCAGCGGCAGCGAACCAAACTCGAGCTGCCCATATTAAATTGACTTGGGCGCAACGCTTCAATGGCTATCTCTTCTTCAGTGATAGTAACGATTCCGGTCTCCCAGCAATTGGTGAGTAGTTTTGGACAATCAATTGTCATTTTCCAATTTTAATTTATTTTTCAACTCCATTCCTCTACCATTCTACCCTCGTACTAATTAAAGGGACCGTCAAACTCATTTTTGCTTCGGATTTACTGGCACTAGACAAATATGCATTGAGTGGGGTATTTTCGTGGGTAAAAGAACACAAATTCCGCCTTTCATTTGGGCGTAGTCAGTTGGTTGTAGTTTTCTCCTCGGACTTGTGAAAAAACTCAAATTTTGAAAAGTTGTCTCTAGTATTCCCATTGGCGACTTTTACGCTTTTCTTCACTTTTTTATGCCAACTGTCCTCTCTGTTTTAAAGGTGTTGTTGTATTCGCCTTAGCATGGCAACACTTAAAACAACTGTTCAACAAATTGCAAGGCAATAGAAGACCGGTGATGATTTAATTGGAACGATGTTGGTTTCACGTCTCTCAAATCACTGTTAATTTCATTTTCTCCCATATTTTCCGAGTTTCAGGTTTACGGGATAAGAGGGGGTGGGCGCTGACCCGTTCCGCCATTGCTCATGTTTATGACAACTTTGGTCAGAACTTCACATTCTTCATGAAAGCTCATGACACTAATTACGTTGTGGTGGAGAATTTGCGTGCTCTCCTCCTCAAATTGGACTTCAACGAGCCACTTTTGATTGGTCGTCTAACGGAGGTAAGGTAGATTTCCACAAAATTGATTGAACACGACCCAAATCTTGTTCTAGTTCATCGAATCATTTGATGATTGTACATCAAATAATTGGTCATTTATTCAGTGGTGAAATTAGCACATTATCTGTAGACAACTTTATTATTCACATTTAGGCAACCCAAAACACCACTAAATTTATGTCTGATGAGTCCGGTTATGTCATGTCACGTGCAGCCTTGGAACATCTCGCTATGGGCATCAAGAGTAACGCTGAGGCTTGTGGCGAAAATGACGCTGCTGTGGATGCCAATCTTGGTTTGTAAACATCCCTTTGGATTCCTTGACTTTATGCAGTAATAATGCTTGTAGTAGAAATTGGTGCGTTTAGGACACTCTTGGAGTGTTTATCTGCCCTCGTATCCTAATGTACTGACCGTGGGCTAGGAATCATCATCGTGATCAGAGTCGTACGGACGCGTGTACATCCAACAGTCTTTGCATTTGGTGCATCCACCGCCATAGACAGAGCTCGGCAGGTTCGCTTCCTCCACTCTTTACTATAAGCTCCACCGAGTGCCTTCGGGTTCAAGGGTTGCCACCTGCATCACTTTTTGCCTAGCAGCGCCTGCACTATGCTGACCAAATAAATGTGGGTCTGATATCATTATTAGTAGTAGGTCAGGCTTGCTGCCCATTACTCTCGGTAGCGACTCCACAATGTTCGCATTTTGTACTCGTAAAGTCCAAACCTGTGATGTACTTTGAATTTTGGGTAATCACTTGCTTTGTTTCTCGCCTAGGTAAATGTGCAGTCGCGGTAGGTGTGAAATTCTTGCACGCTATAGACCAGGAAAAAGCTGATCTCTTTCATCCTCTTTCACCCTCAGAGACCATGAAGCTGTTTCTACAGGCCACGAACCCCGATAAGACATTCAACTTTGATAAGGCAACTAGAGTAAGTGTCAAGCTCTTTTGTGCTTGTGCTTTGGCTACTGCCTTCACGTGAAGTTCTCTCCCATTTTAGGCTTTCAGCTGCTGCAGTGACCGATCTGTGACCTTTTCAAATATCAAGGGCGCCGATCTCTACATGATGGAGTATATGACTTACCACCTTTACCCATATGGCATCATTAGGGAGCCTGAGAATTATGAAAAGTTGAGGCAACTTCTGCTCGTTAGGCACCACTGAAACCCACGTTCATTTGCCGTGTTGTCTAGTCCTCCTACATGCCTTACCCAATTGTATGCTCTGTACCTTTCATCCTTTTCTACGCGAAATCTTTTTTTTGAAGTTTTGAACACTTGACTCAGTTGAAATTGTATATGGTTTGAAATACAAGGGGTTTTTTGTTAGTCATGTCAATTCTTTTGTTCACAGATAGTAGCATTGAGTAGTTTCATTCCAGAGCGTTATTGTGTGCTGTGTCCCCCTCTGACCTCTCATATAACACCTTCATTCTTTCACAATATTGCCTGTGAAAATTGCTATCAAACTTTTTTTAAAAATTTTCCAATGGTGTTACTTTTGGACTTCGACTTTCAATACGTCTCCTACCTCAGGTGGATAATTGGTTGAAGTATACTTTTACAGGAGGTCAAATGTTATTATTAGCTTCATGGTCCCATTTGACCGACATGTTCTGTCCATAAGGCATGGCCTGAAATTTAGTTGATTTCGCTGTCACCATGGCACAAAGCTCTCATTACTAAACAGTAATTAATCACAAAACACCCAGAATCAGAGATTGTAGCTTCACACTTTAGTTCTCTGTGGATTATAAGGGTGTACTTTACGACCCAACATTGTTCACTCATCCTGCTTCCGTTTAGTCTTTCAGAAAAGGTGAGGAGGATGAATAGGTTAAGTCATTCATGGAAGCATCGAAGCAAAGCTCAATTATTTCTTATTGGTGTACTGACGGGGATAGTCGTCTTCGGTGTCCACTTCAGCACGCTACAGTTCAGGAGTGAGTGCACTAAGAAAGAGGTCATTGATTTGGGTACGTTACAACTAATCGTTTGGGTATTCATCAATGGGTACTACTGAATTATGACATAAGTAAACAGCACTAACAATAACAATAAAGTGAAAGGTTGTTTTTATTGACTTCACATTTTGTCCCGACTTATAGGTACCTCGCACGTGTTTACTCTCAATCAGTTTGTGGATTCAGGTAAACTATTGACCTAACTAAATCGTTTTCTGGGTAGTTCAGCACATGCACAAGTATAGGGTTGCAGCCCACTTTGCATTACACTTCACAATGAACAAATGCGATTAATGTGTTGCATAGCTAACTTCGTAGTCACACACAATAATGATGACAGCTGTCAACTGTATCGCCGTGTAGGCAGTCTAACTCTGGCTGAACATTTGGCCAAGCGAGTTCGCGTGTTTGCTGCTATCTTGACAACTCCACCAGCCAAAATGGTCAAAGCTATTCATGTGAAAATGACCTGGGCGCGGCGGTTTAACGGATACGTGTTTGTTAGCTCTGAAGATGACATTTATTTGCCATCTATCAGTGAGTGAGCCTTTGCTTACCACAGCTTAACTAAATTTGCATTAAATGTAATGGTCAATGGGCTACGATGCGTCTAACACGTCCTCCACTTTTCTTAGGCACAACGAAGGGGTAACGACTTGCCATTTATGTTTCACTGTAGAAGCCATAGATGAGGAGAGCCGAACTTTGCTTTGGGCGAAAATACGTCAGGCTATGGTCCACATATACACCAACAGTCTTAACGACTATGACTTCTTCCTGAAGGCTGATGACGACACCTATGTGATTGTGGAAAACCTGCGATTCTTTCTCTCCAATCGGGATCCCAACGTACCCACCTTAATGGGCAGACGGTTTAACGTAGGTTTGCCTACTCCCCTTCTATTAGGGCTTAAATAGAAATCTACGTCCTCACTCCTCCGAGTTCATACCATTCAGTGGCATCCAGAAATGACTCCTGGGTTTAAATCACTTAGCTATTGGTATCAGCATCTTTTTTGCTGTCCAGTGCCTCCCCATGGAATGCTGTTGTTAAAGGTCACCCTTGTCCAAAGTTTTAGCCTCGTAGCCCTTTATATGGGTAATAAATGTGTGAGCGCAGATAGCAAAGCAATGTCATATTCTCTTTGTCTCTTCCCCTCGCATTCGTGCACTTTGTAGTGCTTTTTTTAAGGAAAGTAATGTCTATAATTCACAGTGCTTGGTGTACCCCAGGATAGCAAACCAAGGATAATGCATACATTTCACAAAAATAAGCTAAACTAGGCGCCTGCCGGCACAAAGCGTTGAAGGGGAGCTGACGGTCCTGACTTCAAGTTCATCTTGAAGAAGAGGTGTCGCAAGTGTCAAACCCATGGGATATAGAACGGGGAAATGTCAAATATCTTATATCATCACATCGAAAAGCGTAAGAAGGTTTCCACCAATCAGCTTCTGCTTAATAGGTCTCCTCTTGCACGTGAATCTGAAATTTGGATCACCTTGTGCTTACAATTTGTTTGCAATGATTTGGAGCTGTGTAGATTTGCCGATGAAAACCGCACTTCACATCCGGATACATTTTGATTCATTCATGGAAACGACAAGTGGTTAGCTATACTTCCATAGATCATTATTTCCATCCACACTCTGGGGAACGTAGACACCTGTACTTGAGCAATTCAAATGCACAAGCACACTTGCGGTTGGGTGAGAAACCAGTCTTTTCGTTCGTACAAATCGACACTGCCACTGGCACGCATTGTGTAACTACACTTCAAGTCTTGGTTGCTTATATTCAACACTGATCTCACATCATCTTCCTTTCGTCCTCTTGTCCCTCGAGCAGACGCCATGTCTGGTAACACGCAAGACATAATGAAAAAGAGAGCACTCAATCGTCTATGGGACGGTTTATCCAGAGTTTTAACTCTTAAATAAGTACGTCTACTTCTCCAGATCTGGTAAAAATTGAAGTAATTCAGAAATCCTCGTTTTTGAGAATTTGTTAAATGGCAAATGAAAGTAAACCCCAATATTTTTGCGTCTAGGACGCAGGTAGGAAGTTGTTTCTACTGCTTTGAATGTAGTAATTAATGCCAGATTTTAAGCAATGGCAAGGCAGTTGAGGAAGCACTACTACGCACTCAGACATTGCTTTGCCTTTGCAATTTACCTTTCTGTAGTAAACCTATGAGCGTAGGGGCCCTTTATGCTAAAGTGTATATGAGTTGAGCATCAGTTAATTAGATATTTAAGCATGATATACTACTATTCATTGTGGTCTCTACTAAATTAGTTTTCACTCCATGAAACTTGGTTTAAAATCGCCCATAGGCTTCACAAAATGATATGACTATCTAGCAAGTTCTCAAAGTTCCAAAATTCTTTCCTTAGGGAGTGTGTGACATAGCCTCTGGGAGGGATATGAGGCGCATTTAGTGGTAAAAGGTGAATATTGCAAAAATACGAAAATCTGATTAAATTCTGGCGGTCGTGCACTTGATCATGCACGTGCTACTGATTACGAGTTAAGCGTCCCTCTTTAGCACAATTATGTAAAGTTGGTGCCGTAGGAACACTGTTTAGGGATATTTTTGCCCAAGCATTCCAAAAAATCCTTTTCTGTCGTGATAATTGACCCGAGAAGATGGTGAAACCTTCCGACTAGTTGAATGCTGCATTGAAAGGGGAAGACGAAAGGTGTCAGACATGGAGACTGTGACAGCCGTAAACAGTTGGCATTTTGAGAGTTAACAAATCGCCGACTGGCAGCATTTATTGCATCCTTCTGAGGCGCTCACCACATTCTTTAAAAAGGGTATTTTAAAAAATTGTGATCTACAGTCTGCAGGCATGTTCATTTGTCTTAGTGCCAAAAAAAAGTTCGCTACTGGACGGACAATGCTCTCTTCCATTTTCTCCATACGTTCTTTTGAAACCACTTTTGAATGTCAAAATGACCCTTTCAAACCACAGAACACTTCGAAAGTGATGTAAAATTTATTTTAGCAAAAAGCTCTTGATGTCAAGGTTTTCTGTACTATGGGATTCACGTGAAACTGCCACTGCCTATACTTGGCACAAGCTCAAGGTGGATCCGAATTCTCCGTCTTGTATTTTAGGCGATATAGTGCAGTTCGACTTTGTCGCATTTCTCCACCCATCTTTAATGACTGTCGGTCTTTTACTTTCTTGCGTTTTTGGTGGGTTTGTTTTATTACTTTCTAAATTGCTTCTACATATGCCAGCAGCAATTAGTATCCTGGAGACCTACCTTTGTTCTGTTGCATCATTCACTATGCTTACTACGCACTTGATTTCTGCTTGTTGATTCTGGGTTCAGGAAAGAGAGGAACATTACTTATTTGATTTAGACTTTTGTTAGATGTGTCCACGATTGTTTTGGATGGTTGTGGCTTCCACAGTTGTCTCGTCGTCATATAGTTCGGCCTCGCGAGTGGGCTGGTAGGTGTAAAGGTACAAAGCCGGAGTTTTCAGTTCTCGGCTAATCTCGTAAGGACTCTCTTATCACTAAACTAGAAAGGTTCCACAAAAAGTCATAGAAGTGTGAATTGCCGCGAGGCTAAAACCGTCTCACCCCGAATCCAGAAAATGTGGTTATGCTTTGCATTTTGAAACGACTCCGTCCTGGTTGTCATTTGTAATCTCATCTTTCATAAAATAAAATTTTTCTCTTTCACTACTGACAGACGATTTGAGCACCAATTTCGCTTCTCGTGACTTGTACAATAAGTTTTTTTTACTTGTTTGGAGGATGAAAAGGAAGAAAGAACTCTAAATTCTTAACGTTATTCTGTAATAGTCTTTGCTGACTCATTATTTCCGTTCAGGCTGAATTGGGATTAGGTTAGTCACTAAAACATATATTTTGTAAAGAGTTCCAATGATGATTTGGTTTTGTGATAAATCGTCTTTCCAACAAACAAATAAGTGCTTGACTTTTATTTCATTATCCTTCCAAAGGCATCGTTAAATCTGCCTGCAACTTAAAAGGCGTACAGCCGAATGCGAAGATAACTTTTTTCCTTACTAAATGTAACCAACTTAACCACAGCGCATGGTATTGTATTCCTTTGGGTGGGCTTTTATGTTCCGCGGCAAATAGTGAGAAGGACATGATGTCGTTTAATTTGATCTGATTTTCAGTATTCCAAGGGAAGTTTTTTCCCTTCCGGTGGATCCGGCTACGTGTTATCGCGGGCGGCGTTGAAAATGATTGTCGAGGGTATCCTTAATGGGACGTCAGCATGTGCCAAGTCAGAGGCTCCGGAAGACGTCCAACTTGGTAGGATGTGTTTTTTGGTCACAAAAGTGTAATTCTAGGAAGACTATCAATCTTGGTCACTCCACCTATACATTCCTACCTGTGTAGACATACTTGGACCGGAAAAGTGACCTCGTGTAACATGTAGGCACCTGAAAAGTACATGAAATGGTTTTTAGCATGTGTTGGAGAAGAATGGCCACAA